TCAACACATGCAAATGCTCCTACAAGTGTTGTGTCTCTACGTGCCTCTTACTAGATGATTCCTGAAAAAGCATGTAAAACGAGCGTCAACTACAAAAATAGTTGGTGAGTACTCACATATTTAAAAATAATATTGGTTTCATAAATCGAAATAAAAATTTTGATAAAAGTTTCCACGAATAAAAATATATTGCCAAAATAAGTAAATAAGTTTGCATAATCAAAGTTCGTTGTCATCATGAGAGATAAAGTATGTTGCTCAAATGAGATGCAATGTTCATATTCTCATGGGAAATAAAGTTCGTTACTAAACGAGTAAACAAGTTTCATTGCTAAAATGAGTATATAGGTTTCGTTGATAAAATGAGTATACAAGTTTCGTTACTAAAATACGATATAAGATTCGTATATGCATCAAGTTTCCATTCATGAGTTCACAACCCAAGCCTAATGACCGTTCCTGCCCCCATTCCATCATGTCCATGGTTCCCATGATGTCAGTTCATGGAAAATGCACTCGCGGTTCCGGGCGAGTGGGGGCTGTCGACCCCAAATAGCGCTATCCATAAGACCATCGGCTCGAATATGAGTTAATAGGTTGTATCGGTTCTCCGGGGACTTAATCGTACAAGTTCATAACACCAAATTCATAGTACAAGTTCATAATACAAGGTTCATACAACAAAGTTCATATCATATAGTTCATAGCACAAGTTCATAAAATAATGTTCATAGAAATTGTAGCATGCTTTCCACCCCAAACATTAAAAACGTAAAATATGGGCTATGAATACTCACAATATGCAAATATAGTAACCAAGTTTATACGAGTCAAATAAATACAATGAATATAGATAGTTTAAGACATGCTTTCCCACCCCAAAACATTTAAAAGAAACCGAAAATAGGGGAGTCGTGAATACTCACAATGCATTGAGATGATGAAAATGATGCATGGAACTACGTTCCACGTGTACCACTACCGATTCCGACAATAATGGTATTCGCTAGTGAGTCTCTAATCGAAATCTAACACTAGTCTACTTACTACTACAATAGAATTATGCCAATATTGTGTCAAAATTTAATATTGATAAGTTACAAACATTTTTCTGAAATGGTGAAATTTTATAGCTCATGGATTAAGACAATTTTGGATATTAATTTCCAGATTTTTGTAATATTAATTGAGGGTATTTCAACACATTTAAATGTGTTTTAAGCTCTTAAAAAGCCAAAATATTATCAACCAATTTCCAAAAATTCTCAAACTTTGCATTTTCATTCTAAACACAGTAGAGGTCTTCCAGAAATTTTCCCTTGAATTTTTGATGTGATTAACTATTTTTCCCAATTTTTAAGCCTTCATAACAATATAAATTCGTGAAAAATAGGATCCAGATGATAAAAATCCCAAACTTTTTATAATACTGCCATTAGACATACTTAAGCTGGGAAAAATATAAAAATGAATTTCTAAACTTTTTAACCCAATTTTATGATTTTTGTGCATTTATTCTAATAAAAATGGATTTAAGTGTATTTAATCTTGGGAAAATAGATGAAAAATAGCATACAGAAGAGAAAAACTTATCAAAATTTTTATGTAGCATTCTAATATATTATAAGGTGTTCTGGTAAATTTTCATGTATTTTGGATGAGTAAAACTATTTTTCCTGTTTTTAGTCCATTATAAACACAAAAAAATCATGAAAAATAGATATACATTTTGAAAAATTCCCAAAATATTTTCCTGAGTCTTCCACATAGGGTAGAAGCTGCGAAAATTATTAGATACTCTTTTTATATTCCCTAATGTGGTTTTATGATTTATTAGAGCTAAACAGAAAGAAAATTCAAAACCATATTAAACAGTAACAAAAGTCATTGAAACTTCATGGGAGATGTTTATTAACTTAAAGAATCATCCAATAATTGTTACAGAATTTATTTACTAGTGTAAGTATTTTATATGATTTAACACTCTATTTTCTTATTATTTTCATATAAAAATAAAGAAAATATATATTGCGCTGAAAATTTCCAGAATGCATCTTCATACAATTTAATAACAATGAAAAATTGTTTTCTTATTTTTGATGTTGAAAACCATGCCTAAAGGCTCAATAAATTATAGAGAAAACATGGTTCTTGTGATTTATGTAAAGATTATTGATGTTACTTTGAGAATTTTTGCAACATGTTACAAAGACTTTTGAATCAAGATCTTTTTGTAGCTATTAATACATGATATTAAGAGTTTAAAATAATTTTTGAATGATTTTTAGTGATGAATAAATCCTTTGAACATGCAACACAAAACAAATGTTCATAAGGAAAGTGCTGTTTGAGCAACAGTTTTGTAAAAATTGGTAAAAATCGATATATTGGAATTTTCCAGTGAGGTCAGATGGGTTTGAAATCTAAACTCAAAATATTATATTTCAGAAAAAGAATCACGAATTTTGGTTAAGAAATGAGTGAGATATGGCAGTTTAAAGTCAGGTAAAGAAATCTGGCAGATTGCATAATGATGATTGGTTAGAAAAGTGAGTTTTCATCATTCCTTGAGTAAATCTTTTGAAATATTTTAAATATATCATGATAAACTCATATTTTAGTCATGTTTCCAGAGATCAAAGGATTAAAACTTATCAAAATGTATACATGCATTTATGAACAAAATTTTGTTTCTCAAAAACTCTTAACTTGAGTTTAATGTTTTAGTCCTTAAAAATCAATTTTTGCACTAAGATCATGAACATGCAACCTTGTTTATCATACATGCATGGTGTTAGAACACATCCATGATGTTCTAAAAACCATTTTAACAAAAAGAAAACAAGTTTGAAGAAGATGAAGAAGTAGAAGTCGGTTTTTGAAGTAAAATGCACATGCATGGCTTAAATCATTATTGTGGATCTTCAAGAGATGTATGTTCTTTACCTTAAATTTATTTATGGCTTGAAAACCCCTTATGAATCTCCATAATTTCATGGTTAAGAGGCTGTGGTTGTGGTGTTTAGAGAAAAAAAATTAGAGAGAAGGTAGAGAGAGTTTTCTAGAGAGTGAAAGAAGAGAGATGTGTGTATGTTGGAGAATGAGAGTGTGAGAGAGAGATATGGGGAGGGAGAGAACGAAAGTTAGGGGAGGAGAGGCTCCCTCTCTCTTGTTTCTTTTATAAAAATTCAAATCTTTTATAAAAATATCCAACTTTTTATAAAATGTGCACCTTAACCTAGTTTTTATGCATAAAACTCTTGATTTTTGACTTATAAATCAAGGGTAAATGTTAATAAGTAAATCTTTATTTTTCAATGATTGTATTTTATAATAACTATTATGATAAGATATTATTATAAGGTTCATAATTGTTTTTATAGGATTTTTAAGGTTAAAGTTTATAAATATGAGTTTTTAGGGCTTTTAGGGTTTTTCGGATTTTGCTAAACTTTAGATATCAAGGTAGATTGAATTTGCAGGCATCAAATTATTTTGAGTCTTATAACTCTTTTATAGTTATAAATAATGTTTTTAATTCCTTTTTGTCGGTTTATTGGCATTTATATGTAGTGGTTCCGAGATTCAAGTGAACTTGAAGAACCAAGTATACTAGTCATAGTTTCAACTTTGACTTAAGTTCCACGAGACTCCGACCTAATTTTTACCACTAGGTCAAGTGCATAATGTGTGTATATGATTCATGAAAAGGTGTTCGAGTCAAAGAGTGACCCGAATATGGATAGCCTCTACAGTTAAGTAGTTGTAGAATTCACATATCAATATGAAATCTAAGTACATTATCCATTGTTTCTAATTGTTTCCAAGTTCCTAGTAGGTTATAACTTAGCTTCTAGTTACTAAGTCTAGTATGTGTCATGCCTGTACGTGCAACTAAGTTTAGTCAAATCTAGAACCGACTCGAATTTTGACGGTTGTCACATAAGTCAAGGCGCACTATCTCTAGTATTTGTCGTTTGTACCTCCTTTGGCTATAAATGGAGTGTCAACCTTTGTAATAGATATAGAGGAACACAAGTCACTTATCAAGTATCAAATAGAATACTTCACCTCTTTCAAATCAAGGAATCATTATGTCAATCATCTCTGTAACATTATTATTGTTCTTATTTACTTTACATTGTTCATACTATATATTATCTATCTTGAGCACTTTGTTGAGTTAATAATTCCAAGGCTTGATTGGTTTACCAGACTTGATCTTTAATTATTAACAACCATTAAAGTTATATTAACTCATGGTTTGGGTTTTCAAACCTTGTCCACATAAACCTGTGAAAATCACACCTCTACTGCAAAGTTGAATATCAAGTTGAATCAGAACTTGATGGCTGATTTGGATGCTCTGAAGTACAGCCCTATAATTCGACCTTTGATCGAATTCCTTAATCATTCACCATTGATTAGGGATTTGGAATTGTTCGAAAATGTTCTTTATATGCATTATCTATGGTGTATTCAATTGGAATCTACAACGTGGATCAAGAAGTGATGAATTTTGAAGTTAGTGGTCATCGTACTTCAATATCAAAAGCCAATTTTTGCAAATTCCAATGGATTTCTTCAGCAAGTGATTCAATTCATCCATATTCCATCTTTTCAACAAGTATCATTGTTGCGTTTCATCAAAGTGGGGTATAATTCCTATCTTATTCTTTTATCCAATTTTAAGAAATCTGCTTTACCTATGATATGTAATGCTCTATTCACCATTTTGTTCAAGTGTTTATCAGAGAGGATCATTGGTTTAGATAGTGCAATCAAATTCTTTTATATTTTGATCTATGGGCTTTTAACTGTTAAGAATATGGATTATGCATGGAACTGTGATTTAGACTTAGTTTGCCCAAAGTGAGAATTTAAACACAAAGGATTCGGAGATTTTCTATGCTAGGTTTTGGTCAATTGTTATTCGGCGTGCCCTAGACCACTACCAAGTTCCAGAGATAAATGTTGTTGTGATAGATGATATTCCGAAGATGAAGATTGCTAGTTTTGTGAATTTTGATTTGAAGAATTTCAATTTTGTCGGTTCCATTCCAGAAGTGATGTTGGCTAGGATTCCGCTTGATAATGTTATTATTCAAGGTTATCGAAAAATCCCTAATTCTGGAGTTCATAAAGTTCATGCTTTATTACAAGGTATTCTTGATGCTAGTGATGTTCCGAAGAGGGGAGGTACAAAGAGAAAAGTAAAAGAAGCTGAGGGTGTTTCCAAGAAGGTCAAGTCGAAAATAAAACTGAAATCTAAACCAGTTGTGATGGATGCGGAATCGGAAGAGAGAATTCACATTGATGTTCCGGGTGAAAACACTTTGTTTAACGAGGAAGATAATGTAACCCTATTGGAAGCTCCACCAAAGACTTCAGAAAAAATTTCTTCAGCTGCACCTCTGAAGGTATCTACTCCACCTTTATCATACATTCTTAAATGTACACATACTCCTCGTGGTCTGATATTTTTGATCAAATTCCGAATGATCCTTTTCTTGATCTTTATGAAACTCCACCACCACCTCCACCAGTTAACACATCTGTTTCGATCCATACCACTATTCCACCATTTCCGAACACCAATTATTAACTAAAATTGCAAGAACAAACCATTTTTCCTATACCAACTCCAATTTTCACTTCATCTACTACAAATCCTGTTGTGAGTAAAGTTCAATCAAACATAGAAGTTCCACCAGAAACGCCTGCTTTGGAATCCTTTATGGAGAAGAAAAGGACTTCAGGCATCATGGTAAATACATATGATGTGGATCCAAATGTCAACCTTGGTGTGAATCAACCACACATTTTAGAACCCATTCCTATTTATGAACCTACTGATGATCAATCTAATTCTGATGTGGAATTTGCTTTCCTGGATGAGCAAGATATTGAGTTTACTGGAAGTTTTGAGGATTTCATGCCTACTCCTTCAAGTTCTTTTATTTTTTATGATGACAGTGAATATGATGTTGATCCATAAACTCTGATAACTCAAACAGAGTATAGGATTTTGAATAAGAAGCTAAACCATTTGCTTCATCATGCTGGAACTTTCTCTACCACCCATTTTGAGAATTATTTGACTTCTCATAAATCAATTATGCAAGATCTAACTTCTGATTATGTAAAGACGTATGATGCTCATAAGAAGTTAGTTGAAGAATTTCTATTCAAAGTCGAGGATGTTGTAAAACAAGTTGATTATGCTCTTTTGGAAGTGAAGACTCTTGGTACAAAAGTACATGTATTTTTGAAGAACTTTTAATAAAATTCTGATAATCAAATGGTTGATGTTATGAAAACCATTGAAGGGTTTCATGATTCTCTTCGTGAGGAAAAGGAAAGTTTATCTTTTCTTTGCTTTGGGTTGCAAAAAACACAATGAAGATGTTCATACTGATGTTTCCAATTCTATTATTTCTCTTCAAAACAATCTTGAAGGTAAAAACAGGTTCATAGATGTGATTTCTTACAAGACTTAGAAAATAAAGGTTCTTCAACAAAACATTGATAATGTTACAAAACACAATGCCTGGATGAATGAATAATTGATGCTTGTGAAAACTAGAAATTTTGAGATTAATCAACGGTTGACAAAGATTGTTGAGGAGAAAGATGCTCCTTATATTGATTTTCTTTCTCAAATGATGGATGCTAAGCTTAAGCTAATTCTTACCATGATAGGAACTATTATTATAATGTTACAAATAGCAAGGATACTTTGCAAAAAGGGGGAGAAGGAAGTTCTCAAAAGGTTACTCATTCACAAAAAAATCGGATTTCTAGTTTGCAAGATGTTCCTCCTATAAATCTAAAAATTCCTTATCACACTGGGAAATGAAGAAGTTTGACGATGTTGCAAGGATAAATCTTGGAAAAAAACTCTTGTTGATAAGTTTTGAATAATTCGATCGAGAAACCATTGAATGAACAGAAGGTTAATGTAACTTTTGTTTTTGGGAAAGAAAATGTGAGGATACTTTCGCAAGATGATATTAATCCCCTGTTATCTAAAGAAGAAAAGATTGCTCAAGCGAAACGTGATAAAGAGCTTGATCTGCGCAAGGAAATAAAGGAAGAATGTGATGCAAAGGATGCTGAAAAGAGGAATACTGCTAACATTAATGCAGGTAAGAAAGCTTTATTTCCTTCTTGGATTGTTGAAAGTGTTGGATTATGTGTCTAAGTTCATAACTATTTCTGGGATGTACTTGACCCGGTTGGCATGGTCCATTTGGGTTGCATGGCATTGCAACACTTGGATATACTAAATGAGAGAAAGGATACTTAAGGATTATTAATATATTATAAGTTCTAATATATTAATAATATTATTTAATTAGTATTGATCAAAGAATTAATTTGGAATTAATTAAGTGATCAAAAAAAGACTAATTAAATATATGGGGTTGATTGTGTAAATCATCTATTCTTGTATACTGGGCTAATGATCCATGGTTTGTATGGATTGGGTTAAAACCCATAAGGTGCTCCATGGATAATCCATGGAGGTTACAAACCCATGGATCATGGAATATGGAAAGCCATGACAATTAGGGTTTACATGGTGTAACCCTACTTGTGCCACAACTATATAAAGACCCCTAGTCTAGCAAAATCGGCACTACTTGGACAAGATAGAGGGCTAGCCGATTTTGAGGTGTTAGTGAACTTCTCTCAAGGTCATTTCAAGTGTTGTAGTGTTGTGTGAGACATTTGAGGAATCACACTTGAGGTGCTAGGCTCACAAGGTTCTCAAGGAATCCAAGCAACAAAGAAAGGTATGTTTTTCTTACTAGCTTTATGATTCAAGTATCAATGCTATGTTAGATAGTTGGAGAACCTTGGAAAATCAAATTTGCATGTATCTTAGTCAAACATAGATCCAAGGTGTCTAGGGTTGCATGTACACCTTAGAGTGTTAGAATTCTCAAAAACCTTCAGTGGTATCAGAGCTTAGGCTTGTTTACTTGATACTTGATGCAAACATGTTTTTCAAAAGCCAAAAACTGCCCAGACAAGAAAACTCGATGACTTCTGGCCAAAACCTCGCCGAGTTCATGTCTTATTGCATGAACTCGACGAGTTCGTTGATGAACTCGGCGAGTTTGTCATCCAGTGAGCAATTTTTGGAGCTTTGCTGCTGGAAATGGACTAGAAACTTTACCCTAAACTATTTTGGTGTTATAAAACTTGTTTTAGTTGGTGTAATGGTTATGCTAATCCATTTTCAATGGCTATTATCAAAATTTCAAGATTTATATGGTTAATTTATGAATTCTTGAAATTGTTGATATGCATGTTCATGAACTTATGAGTTTAGACGATCATAGGAATTATTTGTAACTTGCTTGTTAGTTTAATTCTTGATCATTATGTGTTTTAATGGAATCCAGAATTTGTCCTCAAGTTATGGATTACCAAAATTCATTCTTTTAAAGTCCATTATTAAACACATAGGTTACATAAAATGAAAAGTCTCTCATTTTATTAATCCATTAACTCATAAGTTATGAAAGATGAAAAGTTTTGAAAGTTACAAAACTTTCCCTCAAGTTTTGGAACATGTAAAGTCACTTTAAAAACTTTAGTTCTAACCCCTAGAATTTTAAAAGTTAAAATTCAACCCTTATACTGTATAATATTATAAGTTTAATAATAATTATATATGTATAAGAATAAGTCGTTTTACCGTTACTATGTCTCATTCACGAAGTCGGTCTATAAGGAGGGTATGAGGTTGCTGCCTATAAAATGGAAGCTTAATTGGTGTCCACTCTCACCCACCACTTCCTTGATCGGTGGAGGGTCGTTAGCCGAACGGGTAAGAGAAGGACTTTAAATCTTCATTAAAAGTATTAATGATGAATATAAAGTAACTAAATGTTTTTATAAATTCCCAATCTTAGTTATTTTAGGAAAATGTGAATAAGGTGCTAACCCATGAAATTACACTTTGCACTTTGCTTAAGTCGGTTAGTGGAGCGTGTGTGGTTAACCGGCACACTAGCTGGACTTTACAAGGTAGGCAAAGGGTAACTTAATGTTTATCATAGTATCGATGGAGCGCGTTTGGTTAACTGGCACATCGATTGAGGGGTAAATATTAAGGGTTCCAAGTATATTTGCATGGTTATTCACACCTTGTTTTATGATCCTCAGCATCCCAGTCACAAAATTTGAGAGGGACAATCGAGATTGAAACATGTCATTGAAAAGTTCAATGAATCTCAAAAGATCTAGTCGTTTCAAATCCAACTAAAACCTAATAAATTATTTCGTTTTTCATGGTGAAAATTGGTGAATCGTCATTCACCTACCTTTAAATATTTTATAGCTTGGATTACGGCATCCCTCTTCCAAGTTATAAAATATTGTGTTGGGTCCTAGCCTTAATATTTCATATTGGGTGTTATATTAAGGAATTTAAATCAAGTATCTTGAATATCTCCCAAAAGATGTCTGGTTCAGACAATTATGATCTTCCCAAAACTCTTGGAACAAGCCTTCCTAATGAAGATGATATCCCGTGACTGGTTCATGGAAATCATACTTCAAATGCCTCCACCTCCTCCACTTATTCTCCCTATCCCACAAGTTCAAGGTCACTCAAGACCTATTGGCAAGAAAGGTCTATGTGTGATCACATCTTGGAGATGAAGTCACATATTGACAAGTCGGGAGAGTTGGATGTAAAAGTCTTGAGAAAGTTGGTTGTTCAATCACTTTCTAAGTCACATAGTGAGTGTCCTTTGGGACTACTATGTAAAATACTATGACATGACCCTTAATGATCTTATCTATTTGCTTGGTGCTGCTGAATCAGAAATGATTTGGAGCTCTAGTAAAACAAATTTGGTTAGTAGATCAACTTCCCAAACTACCATGGACATTGACAAATTGGTGACATTGGTAATCCAGAAAGCTTTCTCTTCCCAATGGAAAAGGATCGGCCATAGTCAACTCGGTTGAACATATGGTAAAGAGAAAGGCTAAGTCTGAGATAGTTCTGTGTACCATTCCTAAAGGGTCCATATGGTTCTATTTCCAAAAAAAGGATGGGGCATTGATTGCAAAGCTGCCCTAACTACCTGAAAGATCTAAGATAAGGTCTAGTCAGAAAGTTTGATTCTGCTTCAGGTAAGTCCATTATCTAACTCTGTTAAGTTCCTTATTGATGATTCTTAATACAAAATGTGACTCGATTACATTTTGGTGTTTGGCAGAATCAAGCAAAGGGAAGGACACTTAAAGAAAGAGTATGTTGAATCTGATCGCGAAGATGGATTTCAATTGCATGGTTTGAAGATCGGATTTTTGAGTTACTACTTTGAGAGTTATGATAGATTGCTAGGAAATATGTAAGAGAATAGTTTTCATTTAAGGTTGCATTGTAAGGAAATTTTTTTTCCGCATTTTATAAATAAATAGAATTTAGATTTTATTTTAGTTTATATCTCCTTGCAATGGCTTTTATGGAAAAGTGATGTTTATATGTTTCTAGCAATAATAGAAATATGAATTTGATTCTTTCATTTGTGGTAGTGTCTAAATTTACCAAATAAGGAAAATTCTCATCACCCAAGTTTTCAGTTGGATAGAAACTTGGAATCATACAAGTTGTATAGTATGATGAACGAGAATTTTCATCTTTCGAAAATTAAGACTAATTCCTTGTTCACATTTATTTTTGAGTCAGGTGAAGGACTAAGGGATCAAGTATACATTCTTGTGCACTGGTCAAGTCCACCACAAAAGATCGATAAGACTATTCGTCATGATTTACTAAAGTTGAGCAAATATGGTTATACTTACCAGTATAAGTATAATTCTGAAACATTGGAAAAGTTTCGATGTATTGCAGGACGAATGAGAAGAATCAAATTAGGCAGAAAGATAAAACTTTCTCAAATCTGAAAAGATGGGAGAGTACTTTAGTATCATTTTTTTGTGATCATCTTAATGATTAAGAAACCATATCACAATTGGTCCTCTAAGGACATCTTAGTGCATTCATATGGCTAAGAAGAGGAATCAAGAATTGCTGAAATGGTTAAATCAAGAAGGTGAGTCATACTTCGTTCCAAAACAATTCTTAGAGTCATACTCCAAGATTGTAACTTGAGTGACATATCTGAAAGAAAGGTTTATAACACTAGTCAAATGTAATTATAAAGTGTGTCCTACTCTTGTACATTTGAAATTGGTAAGTTGTGATGTTTTTGGATAAAACAGAGGCCAACTTAAGGCCAACTGTGTGAAGTGTTTGTATTGATAAAGAATCCGCACCATCTCTTGAATATTTGGAAAGTGAGTCTTATATCTCAAGAGGACAGTGGGAGTCTTAAACAATTTGAAAAAGCTTCTAGATTTAATCAAGAAGAAAAACCTATAGTTTATCACTAGCACACGACTTGAGGTTTATAACCTATTGTGTTGACATATTCCTATTTATGTGCCCATTCCGGTTAAAGCTGGCTTTGCATATGAGTTATGAGAGTTCTCAATTGGTTGCATAACAACTTAGAAGCAATGGTAGGACCTTGAGCTGCCAGGTGGCAAGAAGTTAAGACTGCACAACTTCAATCCATAAGAGTTTGGATTTCTCACTAACCTTGTCTTGTGATTATAATTTTGACAAATTCACATGGATAGGAACACATACACCAGAAAATCTAAGTGTCATAAGGTTTCTCTCCGATTCATGAAAATGATGGTGAGGAAACGCTTTCACTAAGTACATTTTAACTAGATAGAAATTGTGATATTTGCATTCTCAAATTCGTTAGTGGAGCGTGTATGGTTAACCGGGACACTAACATCGACTTGTGAGATATGACAAAGGTCTAAACAATTGAGACTATGATTACGGCATCCATTTTCATAGTTCTGAAATTGTTTAGACACACATGTGTGCTATCTAAGGAAAGGTGTATGATTTTGATAAAGTTTTATCAAAGCATCTCGTATCAGAAATATGAACTTCGGTAAAAAGGTCAATAAAGTATTGATTTCTAGAAGTCCACCAGATTTCTGAGTACATGTCAAAGCTAGTGGGCGCATAAGCTTCATGCTAATAATCATCATGCACGTGGGAACATGATAATTATAATAAGTGTTTCAAGTTAGCAATATTAATTATAGAAAACAAAAAGGTTTCATTTGGGAAAAATTTGTTTTGTTATA